CGGCACTTGCTTCCCTCCTGAAAGAAGCTGAAGCAGCAGCTTTCACGAGTGTTATCGCCGCCTAAACGAGCATACCGCGTGCGATCGCGTTTCCTTGCCGCCCGACAGGGCAAAAAGGAATTGGTGGACTTTGTCCAAGAGTTGCGTACTTTCATTGCAAGTATGGCTGTCGATCTTCTTCCCGAGGCGGTCGCAGTGACCACCTTCATGGAGGGTCTCCGCATTGGTGTGGCCACAATGGAAGTTTACCATGTCAACTCGTCTTCTTCGAAGAAGCAGTGAATGTGGCATTGAATGGAGAAGTCAACTATAAGTCGGCTCGACTTGGTTGGAATACACGTTGAGCAGGCCCGAGCCGATGGATCTCAGCTATAGGAGGCTGAGCTCCAAGCTGCCGAGCAGCGCTCGACCACCCGACGGTGCTTTATTTGTAGAGGCACACATCGCCTTCGGATTGGTTGTCTCCTGCGCAAGGCGCGTCAAATTTCATCGAACCGACGTCCAGCTTCTAACCAGTCTAGTTTGTCGCGGGGAAACGACAATACGCAGTACGTGCGGATGGTCTGCTGTGGAAGAGCCGAGTTCCGTTGAGCCTTAAGGAGGTAGAAATCAGCAGGGTCCAGCCCCAAAGAGCTCCGGACGCTTAAATACAAAACGTGTATGCAAACCGGGTTTGCTGGGTTGTGGAAGCGACCGTGATGGGCTTTGAGAAGCTCATGGAAAATGCCCATCGACTCCGGAGCGTCGGGCAATTATGCTTGACGATCCATGATTGAAGGAAGTTGACTGTATGCTGAGGCGCTGAAGGCGTGGTTGAGTGACATCGTCACTGTTCGCTTAGCGACAGGGACATGTGTCACGGTGCCGAAGGTCCCTGTGGACCTCGGTATCAAGTTTCTTGAGTTTGATAGCGTGGAACGCTGCCTAGGCTAAGACTTGGATATAAGATATATCTATGGTATGGCATGTCCGGAACGCCATGAGCCATAGATCGAGTGGAGGTCGAAGACCTTGGCGCTAAGCGCACGTCTCCTGGTGGAGCCTTGGTGAGTAATGAGCTCAATTCTGTTAGGTAGCAAAAACGCTATTAGTGCGGGCACTGGACCGAGACAATCAACGTGCTATGTATCGGAGTTCAAAGTTGGTGAACACTGAAGGTGTATCATACAGGATTCCCAAGCATGGCTTATGGACACGCCACCAACTGGACGAAGACTGTGGAGTCAGCAGCTCTTCGTCGGTTGTTAATAACATCAGGGCTCCTTTGGAACATAAAGTAGGGCTGACGCTGGACGACGCTGAGTGCGTGTTCACGCTGGTTTCGACGATACGTACAACTTCTGTGAAGAGGCGACAGCGATGCCGTATGCCAGCTGCAAGAAGCCGGGCATCGACCCTGACCCAGAATGCGTCTACCGTAGGCGATAGCGCACATCTATACACCCTTGTCGACGGTATGACGGGGAGGAAGACGGCGACGTCACCCTCAAGGCTATTCTCACGGTGGATGCTCCTCTTGAGCTGGAGGAGATGTCCTTTGAAGAGTTTGTCGGGGCCTTAAAGGAAGTCGATTTAGGTGAGGTGGTTATTATAAGACCGAACTAGGAGATTAACGCATTTTTGCTTCTGGAGGAAGCTGTCCTTGAGGACACCAAGAGGGTGCTGAACGCACGATGTGGATCCTCGATTCTGAGAAGTCCCTCAAATTCATACTATCCTTCGGTAAGAGAAATTCCAAGATGTCGTCTCCAAAGACCCGCCGTTGGCCCTAC